GATACAAGACTTATTAGATGACTCAGGAGTTGATCAGAAGTCACTAGCGGTGTCTTGTGACAGTCAGAGTATAATATTTTTTGTCACAAATCCAATTCATCATACTCGTAACAAACACATTGAAGTGATGTACTACTTTGTCAGCGACTTGATTGATGACGAAAAGGTTTTGTTGAAGAAAAAAGATACGAAAGAGAATGTAGTAGAGATGCTCACGAAAGTACTGTCAGTCAATAAGTCCACCTATTATAGGACTTTGGTGAATATCCAAGCTCAAAACTTATTGCACAGTTGGGCAATTTGAAGAATCACAAGAGGTTTTATCTCTTCGGGAGGTGGGTACAAAGGCAACAATCTTTATGGAGCAGAATTGGAGTTTCAAGCTTATTTAATCATCTCTCACTTATTTGGAAGTAAGAGATGAGGTGGAGATTGTTATATTTATGGTTTTTCTTATAGTTAGAGATATTTTGGTTTTTAATTGTTTTATTTATTTGTATGCACCAATCCTCTTCTATAAAAGGAGCTTAGGGTTTATGAGACAGTTATGGTAAAGTGTTGAAGCTGTTACCCCTAGCCTTCTTCTTTTTACCATCTAGTGTTGGTAGAATTTTCTTCATTGTGAACATAGGCAAAAGATACAAATTTATGAATATCCCAACATCGTTTATTAGTTTTAGATTTTAAGACTAAGAGTTGTAAAATAAAAAATACTAGGACTCATTGTCGTAGAATTAGATGAAGAAACTTAAAAGACACAAATAAAATTATTTTTATGAGTAAAATTCTAAATTTCAAATTTTGGGACATTCATGAAGAAGCAAATGTTATGTGGGATAAAGTAACAAACACTATTAAGCAAGTAGCAAAAAATGTGCTCGGAGAATCAAAAGAAAAAGTTTTTATAAATAAAAAATAGTTGGTGGTGGAATAATAATGTGCAAGAAAAGATAAAATATAAGAAGTTATGTTATAAAAATTGATTTAAATGTAAAAGCTTAGAGAACTGGAGAAAATATCAAACGACTCGCAGGGAGTCTAAAAGAACAATCTGTGATGCTAAAAATTCTGCTTTTAATGATCTTTATAATAGATTAGATACTAAGGAGGGTGAAAAATATATGTATAAACTAGCCAAACAAAGAGAAAAGAAAAGTAAAGATTTAACTCAAGTAAAGTGTATTAAAGATGAAAATCAAAAAGTACTTTTCTTAGAAAAA